TAGCTGAGTCTGAGTGGAGCTAGATTAACAGGGAGGAAGGTATCGCCTCTCTCTGATATGAACTATCAGATTTATGGCTCTCCCCTTCAGCAAATCACTGCCATTTGTCTGGAAGTGGGAGGCCTAATGTCCTTTAACCTCCACCTGGCGCCACAACATTCTCACCGTTCTCCCTGGCTCACCGGTGAGCCCGCCGGTCTGGACTCCTCCACAATACCCGCTGGCACTCGGCCTCTAACTGCTCTCCTCCGCAGGAGAGAACCACGACAAGATGACCAATCTGACTGAATCTGTAACTCTTAAATCCATAAATCTGAAACTCTGACGTTGTTTTAGATCAGGTTTTCTCAAACGGGGGGTGTAGCGCCCCCCAGTGGGCATTAAGACTATATGAGGGGGCGGTGAAAGTTTTTTGCCACTGAAGGGGGTGCTGAGATGCTAATGGTAGGCGCTAGCGATACAGGACATTCATAACAGACAATGGCTCAGAATAAAAAGAAGTGTTGACAGTACAATGTGGACTACCTTCGGTATGGATCTATTCCTTCATCCACGAATCCACAACTCCCCATGTGCCTGCTTTGTGAACAAGTTTTTTGAAACGAAGCAATGAAACCCTCCCGGCTTAAGGAGTCCAAAATGCATCCCGACAAAGCTTCAAAGGAACAGAACTATTTTCAGGTAATTAAAGAGAGACACTCTAAGAGAGGTAGCAATAGCAGTATGTTTGCTCGAAGCTCGAATTTACTGGACCGAGAATTATTAGCTTCCTACAATATCTCGTTGCTAATAGCTAAAAACACTTTTTTTATGATACATTTTTAATGACATATTTGTATGAAACTGTTTCAAACTCAAGGCTGAATTCTTTCTTTTTTTTAAATATGATTTTTGTATAAAAAACTTTCCGTTGCTCTACATGGGACATTGGTGGGCGGGGTAGCAGAAAAAGGCTGAGAAATCCTGTTTTAGATTAAAACATTTTCCATTTAACTGAGGTGTCTGCCTGTTTATGGAAGTACGGCTGGATGCCAAGCTGAAGATAAACCTGTCCATGAATGAGTAACATCGTCACGCGGCCTCTGCAGCAGCCAGGGGCGGAGCTTGATATGTGCAACATGTGCGGCCGAACAGGGCGGCAGTCTGCAGGGGGCGGCATTTAATTTCCTTTTTTTTTTTCTAAAAAAACTTTTTTTAGCATCAACCAATACATAAACAAAACATAGAAATCGCATGTTCTTAATAATAATAGTGATTATAATAATAATATTTCTGTAATAAAAGCACAGCAAAGTGTAACCAAGCCCCCACAATGCCGCTCTAAAAATGGTCCCATACCGGAAGTAAGAAAAATTGCAGTTCCACCCTCATCCGCTGGGGGCTGGTGCCAGAAGCGAGCAAATCCTCATTGACTCCCATGTTAAAAATGCCGATTTCACAGCAGAAATAAACATGTTTACAGCCTGGTACCAAAACATGTTTTTTGTCTAAATTATCTAGTTTATACTCATGACAACTCTGAGGGGGGTGAATTTTTTTCTCACTCTTCTGTTTAAGTGTATTGAAAGCCTAAAATTCTGTATAATTAATGAGCATCCGACACACGTGACCGCCGCCTCAGACCCACGTGACCACAGAGCTAGCTCCGTGGAAAGGCCTCAGTACAGCCTCGGTCTGGCTTGGAAACTGCTCCGGCATTTTGAGTCTCTGTGTTTGTGTATTCTTCTTTGGATATTATTGGTGCAATTGTTGGACAAAATGACTTGCAGTGGTATTAATTGCACTAATAGAGCATCCAAGGAGTCTCCACTTCATTTTTTTCGGTAAGTTAAAATCTATATTCGTATTTATGTCACTGCCACCTTTAAACTAGCTGAGTTTACCGAAGTAGCTAGCTAACTATCAGTTTAACATGTAGCATGTACTGTTTAACCATGAAATTTAAATGTAAAATACGGTAAAATAATTAATAGGGCATATTTAGATGGGTAATAGGGTAAAACCCAGTGCATTTAAGATAAAAATGGGTTGAAATATGACGGAGCGCTAAGAGGGAGACTTCTGTGTCCAATCTTCCATCCGGTAATCCCCAGCGGTCAGGCCGGGCAGCCTGACCGATCCGGCGCCTACTTGCTGCGCGGTCTGACCGCTCGTGGAGTTTTTCATGTCTGACTTTAACCGCATCTAATACTGTATTACGGCGTGAGCGCAACAGCGACAACTTAATATCGATGTGTAAGCAGCCTGAGTGGTAGGGTGTTTTCATCTGAACCCTTAAAACCTCCAGCAGGCTATGCTGCACTATTGACGTGTTAGCGCGCGGCGCTAACAACTTAGCAACGTGACATGTCTCTGAGAAAGCGTAAAACACGGACGCTTCTTCTGAAGCGGAAAATAACACTTCTTCTTAAGCAGAGCAGGATGTCGCCTCGGCTCGTTCACGGCCGAGCCGGACTGAGCTCGATAACATTGACCAAGCACAGCCACTGGGTCGTTGTAGCTGCCACCAGGCCTGCTGAAGGAACTCCAGCGGGTTTCATCAGACTCGTAAAGTTTCTTGTTTTTGCTGGGGATTTCTGTATTTTACCGCTCCCTCCTGCAGTCTTCCCCTATTAAAATTTAAAATGTGTAACTTTATGTATTGTGATGAATGACTAATATTCATGTAAAACTAAAACGTTAGGCATTTAGGGGGAAAAAACAAAATAATAAACATTATACAGATGTCAAATAAATCAAACTGTAATTAAACTATATATTTTCAAAGTCATATAGACAGCATGATGGTTTGTGTGATCCGCGCGGTTTCACTTACACCCCTTTAATGATCAGGCTGTTTTTTATTATTTTTATCAGCTGATAGCAGTTAAAATTATGGTAAAAAATACTTTTATCTGTTTTTGATAACTTAATGCCCAGGAAGAGCATCTTCTCTAGACATTAAATATAACCCAAATGTTTTATTATGAGCAGATCTGATGAAGGTTTAGACAAGCAGTCTACAAAGTAAAACTTGTTTAGAGTCCAAACTCTTACTAAAGCTTTTGAAAAGAAAAAATGGTTGAATTTTGAGAAATATCCACAACAGGGGAGCGAGACCTCTGAAAAATGTAAATTTTCTCTGAATTCATAGAATAATGTGAAGATTCTGGGAAAAGTTGGGATTCTGAGATTAAAACGTAAATCTTTCTTATCATAATTCTGGCAGTTTTTGTGTCCTTCTGCTGTGGAAAGTCGTGCAACATGAAGATACTGAGAAGATGCTTACAACCTGTATTTTTATTCCATCCATAAATAAAATCATGAGCTATTTTTTTAATCCAAATTTGATCCAAAGGGCCATCGTTGGTTCCAGACCCGTTCTAGAACATTCCTCTAATCTTAAAGTCATCATCAGTTTCTTCCTTTTAACAAATATTTATTTGTTCAAATATTTAATATTTATAACTGGAATATTTGTTCCTCCCTCTCCCACTGCAGTTAGTCCTGTCCTGCAACCCTGTTTTTGCAGCTTAGTGAAGCCAACCATCACTAACCTGGGGGTGGTTTTGGATCCAGAGATGCGGATGGACTCCCACATTAGCCAGGTGGTTAGATCCTGCTTTTCCCGGCTTTGCCAGCTACCAAAGATGAAGTCCATCCTGAAAGACGTGTCATATTTTCTCCCCAAGCCGGACCTGACCGTCATGTATCGGTCCAAAATAGTGTGATGATATTGTGTTTTTTGTACATAACAGACTTTTTAACAGACAAATTTGTCGCATTCTCCTACACCTCTTCACGGGCTCGCCACAGTAAATATTCTATTTGGCGAGAGATAAACTTTATTGTATTTATCCTAGTGAATCTATAATTAAACGGGTAAACTAGTAGCACCACATCCAACATCAAAGAAAGTAAAATGTTACTATCAGGAGAGGGAGAATGTTTAATTGGTTAGCAGCAGTGTGCTAGTCGATGGCCCCCTCCATGAGGCCACCACAGCTCAGCAGAACGTCGTTGTAGCTTCTTCTGGGGAGAAAAACACTTTGAGAAAAAATAAAGTTAACAGCTGAAATAGCAGGAAATAATACAGTTAAAGAGCAGATTGTAGAAGAAAGAAACCCCTGGGTTAAACTGGTCTGTCTACTGCATAATGCTGAACTCTAACACGTGTCCTCAGGGAAGGACCTGATTGGTGTCCAGAACCTGCTGAAGAAGCACCAGGCTCTGCAGGCTGAGATCACAGGTCATGAACCTCGCATCAAGGCTGTCACCCAGAAAGGAGAGACCATGGTGGAAGAAGGTAGAGCAGGTCTGGTCCTGACATGTTTCTGAGGTGTCTGCAGGTTCTGGCTCACTTTTTTTGGGTCCAGGTCACTTCGCTGGTGAGGAAGTGAAGACTAAACTGTGGGAGCTTCATGGACGTTGGGACACGCTGAAGGCCAAGGCGTCCCAGAGGAGGCAGGACCTGGAGGACTCTCTGCAGGCCCAGCAGTACTTTGCGGATGCTAATGAGGCCGAGTCCTGGATGAGGGAGAAGGAGCCCATCGTTGGAAGTCCAGACTAAGGGAAAGACGAGGACTTGGCCGAGGTATGGAAGTCCCTTCCTGAGAAACTCCAATCGCTTTTCTTTGCTCTCTTTCCAGTCCTTCATAATTAGTGTTTCTGTATTTGTCATTTCCTTCGGTTGTCAACCAGACGTCGTTGCTCGTTTGAGCGTCTCATGGGTTAGGGGTAGAAGTGCTGGCCTCGCACAGGAAGTGATGACAAACGTGTTCCCGTCGCTCTTATTTCAAACGGTTTACAAGCTGTGATGTGTGTTCCCGCTGCAGAGCAGCCATGACACGTGGCAGCCGGCAGAAGGCTCACGCTTTTCCACTAAACACCCGCAGAGCTGCGCCTGCGGTGAACTGAGCAGGGTTTGTTTTACGGTGGCGGATCCGATTGGACCATCGCTGCGAGAAAGCTCCACTTGTGTCAGACGAGCTGAAGGTTCTGATGTTCTGCTCCACAGGCTCTCCTGAAGAAGCACGAGGCCCTGATGTCGGACCTGTCGGCTTACGGCAGCAGCATCCAGGCCCTGAAGGAGCAGGCCCAGTCCTGCAGGGTGAGTTCAGAACCCTCGGCCCGTCAGAACATTCTTACCCACCACGTTCTAACACCAGACCTGTTAACCCGAACGCAACAAGGTAATCAGCAGGTGCTTTTGTCCTGCAGGACCTGAAGGCCAACGAGTCCCGCCTGAGGGACATCAACAAGGTGGCATCTGAACTGGAGTCAGAAGGTCTGATGGCTGAGGAGGCTATGGTTCAGGCTCAGGTGAGCGTCACCTGTCTGCAGCAGCTGGTCCCTCTCACTTCCTGGTTTAACTCTGCTCGTCTCTGTTTGTAGCAACAAAAACATCTGGGTTCTGCTCCTGGAAAGGTGCATGTTGTCCTCCGCCTCCACCAGAACCAGACGTGGTGTTTATGTTACCACTCATTTGTTTGTTTGTTTGTTTGTTTACAGGATGAAGCCGACTCTAACACGGCGTCACCCTGGAAGGTGAGTTCATTCAGCTGATCAGAGGTCACCTCTGATGGCAGCAGTCACGGCCGACCGTGCTGACATCACACAGGAATTCAGGTGACCCGGCAGGCACCAGGTGCTGGTGAAAGTGGGGACATGTCAGCTGGTTGCCATGGCTACAGTTATCTTTATGCATCTGTATGACTGCTGACTGGTGTGTGTTTCCTGTGACCTTTGACCTCAGACCGTACGGTTGGGCGTTCAGACGACGGCTAACTTTAATTCCATCAAGGTAAGAGGAAGCTCTTCCCTTCCTGTCTGAGCGATCCGTCTCCAGGTTTCTTCGTCCGGCGTCCAGCCCGCTGGCGTCCACCTTCATCTCACCTTCATCTCATCTCACTTCATTTATAGTGCAATACTTTCACATTATCATTTTCCCACACTTCTGTATACCTGTATTTTTTTGTTTTTCAATAAAGAATGACAAATTATTTAAGTTTGGTTTTTGTTGCACACAAATATATATCTGTAAAAAATATCTACAAAGCTAATGTTTACATAACAAGTATGATTGGGTTTTGCAATACGGCACTCAAGTTTATTTTAGTAAGATTTTCAAACCAAGTAAAGTTAGTAAAGAACACATTTCTATTGTCTGCTAAGAAACTGTTGGGATTTAAAATGGGCCTGTTGTACAAATAACTTGTAAATGATTATTCCTCACTTTTGTCTTAACCAAAGAAATTCCAGTAATTGAGCAAAAACATTTATTTTTAACACTACAGTTTATAAAACAGGGCGCAAAGTGTCGGCACATGTATGTATGTCGATGGTCCGCCCCAACCAAACCAAGAGACACAGACGTCAGGGAGGCCAAGGTTGTCTCTGCAGCTCTCTGGGCACCACGCCTCACTCAGCTGTCTCCAATGATCCAAATGGCTATGGAGGAAAAAATAACAGGTTTGGCCTAGCTGTTTAAAGTACAAAACCATACATGAAGTGGTCAAGACAAGTACTTGGTACTTACACTTGCTGCTTTGTGTAGCTGACGTTGACACACAGGCTGCCATGGTGACCTTTTAATAGATCTAAGAAAAAAATGTAATAAAAGAATGAAACTTAAAAACTCCCAGACCTCATGTCATATTTACTAATCAGCTATGGCTGATTTGTTTGGATCACAGTGAGTTACACTAATTCTAATATATTTTTATTTCTATTATACATACATACTTTTTAACTGTTATTTTCACATGACTGTTATCAGGCTCTCTTGTTCTGGTTCTGATGATAACTCTGTCTTCCAGTAAGTTATCTTGTGCTTACTTCATCTTCAGAATGTCTCTTTACTTTTGGTAAATTGTACTGAGTCCAGAATAAAGACTAGTTGGCTGTACAAGATACAAACAAGTATTACGTTTTGGAAATATATGAAACACCGCCAGCATCTGTTAGAGCCTGTGGCGGGGTGCTGAGGGCCGGCTCCAGCCCAGGAATGAGCTCTACACGCCGGCCGGGAGGGTTTCAAACACCGCCATCCTCTCCTCTGCTGGCTGTTCATTCTGTTATGGTTACCGGTGCTTGTGTTGCAATGTGAAACGCTTGGTCTCAGATTTTGTAAGAAAGATAATAAAATGTCCCCCCAAAATACGACTTAAATATATTTTCTCTTCTTCATGATACATTTAATGGCTGGTGCGACTCAGGAGTGATAGCGCCGAAAAAAACTGTACTGAAAACTTGCTCAAAGCAAAATGTATTCATTACGGAAATAAATTATAAACTTACCGATTTAAAACTTTTTTAATACTGGTACTTCTCACGAACAGGCACAGAAAACCTCCACCTAAACTACGTGTGAGGTTCAGGTCGATGGGTGTTCCAGTTAGCTCCGGTTGGGTTGAAGCTAGGTGGCTACATCCGTTAGCTCGGCTCCCACCTCCGCTTTAGCTTTGGGTTAGCCAGGGTTAGCTTCAGGTTAGCTCGTAGCTAGTTCGCCTGGGTGTCGTCACTCGAGCCCAGCCTTACAGCCACACCCTCAGCGCCTCCTCTCTTCCCTTTTATGGAGTTGTCTGGGCTGGACGGAACCTGTGACACGGTCAAAATGGCGGTGGTGGCCACCTCCCATTATAGACAACAAACGTGTTATTGAAGCCAATGGAATCCGTTTGTCCAGTATTTACAGTCTATGAGTGTAACCCATATCAACTACTCCCTGTCACATGACCCACGTCAGCTGATGTGAGGTCCCTCTCCTGATTGGCTCCTTCCACGTCGCGGCAACCATGAAAGCTGCTCCTGCCGTGGCTGAAAGCTTGTTGCTTGTACGGCGGTTGGAAAACAAAGCGTTTTTCTCCCCTCAGTTAATTTATACTCTCATTTTACCTCAGCGGTAAGTGTTCTTAACATTTACCAATAACACCCTTTTACTTGTCAGTGACCAGTCGATCGTTTTCGCTATAAAAAATGACCTTGTTCGGCGGAGTTCCCACCGCGAGCAGAACTCCGGTTCAAAAACGCTGTTTTTGAAACACTTTTATTTACTTAAGCACTTTAATGGGCTTAACTTGAAACCAAGAGCAATCGAATTATTATTGTTATGTGTTGCCTTGAATTCGGCTATGCTGTCTGTCAGACAGTTGTTTTCCTTTATTGTTGTTTTTGTATTTGTTTGTAGCAAACGCTACTGGAATGCATAGATTGAGCTACGTAGCCAAGATGATTAATAATTGACCTGTTGTACATTCGTGATATGTTTACCGGTAAACTGAATAGAACTCGATGTGCTAATGAACGTTTCTCTGGCCTACAGGTCAGGTTTTTTTCCCCATGTTGAACTGATCTTCTTCATATTGAAGTGGCGAGCTGGTAGGACCATTCTTTCTTTTTGGAATTGGGAAATTAGCTATTATTTACCCCATGAAAAATGGAGCGGCAGCGGGCCGCTGGAGGTGCCACACAGGGGGATCTCGCACAGGGCGCCATTTAGGCCAGCTCCACCTCTGCAGCAAAAGTTAAATAAAAACTTACCAACATTAGAAAAGAAAAACTAATTTGAACTACTCTCTGGAGAGCAGCACAAACGTGAAATGGCATCTCCACTAAGGCCTGGTCCACACGTAGCCGGGTTTTTTAAAAACGAATATCCGCCCCTCCAAAAACTTGCATCCACATCACCGCGTTTTAAAAACAAACTGTCCACACGTACCTGGATAAATACGTTGTTAAGGACATGCCAGACCTGTAGGCGGCAGTACTTCCCCCGTTCTTAACCTCGTCCTTCGTCTGTGGTCTTCCGCAAGGAGCAGTAATTCCGCTTGCAAAAACAAACAAGCAGAAAGCACTTGGACAGTTGATGGATCGGGTAGTGACAGAGCGCAGCTCTGAGGGCATCCATGCTGTCGGCTACTGTAAACACAGGTCGCACACGTGATGTCAGCATTTTTTTTGTCGCGGAAAGTGACGTTGCGGACCTTAAAACTCCGGTTTTGTCTGTCCACACGCAGACACCCAAAACGGAGAAAACGCAGATCTTCACTTTGGCCTGAGTTTTTAAAAAGATCCGTTTTCGTGTGAAAAAACTCCGTTTTCGTGTGGATGACAGGCCAAAATGTAGAAAAATATCTATGTTTTGGCAGATCCCCGGCTACGTGTGCCTAAATCATCAGGTTCTAATTATTTTCGTCTCAGTGCTCCTGGACTTTGGCCTAAAAACAACAACGGATTTCTTTTATTTAATGTGCAGATAGGCTACATAAAACATCAAAACTCAAAAGTGTAGAATTATTATCAACTTGATCAAGAAGGAACACTTTCATTATTTCATTAAAAATGCAATAATTTTTTGAACCTTGAAGATGCCCCCTGTAAAACTCAGATCTTTAGAAGGATTTCACACACAGATAAGAACTCTAAAGTTAAGAGAAAGTAAAACCTGATAGTATTTAGATATGAAACGGAGCTCTGATGACGGATGAAGAGCTGTAGCTGAGACACGCTCGGCTGCTGGGAAATGTGTTTATGTATTTGAGTGGCTGCTGCAGAGCTGCATTAGTGAAAGTGAATTACAGCCTTGTGTGTGTGTGACTCAGTGCAGCAGGAGGAGGAGGAGGAGGAAGCTGCCCATACCGGCTCCTTCGCAGCAGCTAAACAACAGAGCAGGTGGCTTCAGCTTTCTTTGTGGGATTTTTGGCAGAAATGTACGAGATTGTGTTGTTGGCAGCCTTGTTGCGTAAACTCGAGTATTTGCAAACTATCGTCTGCTTCATATGCTGCAGTTTGTCTGTTGTTAGGGTGGATGAAGCAGAACTCTGTCCCCGGATAGAAGTGTTTTATGCACATGGAAAAATACGGTTAAACCATGCTGAATATTTCACGTGTATCAAATTATTGCAAGGCAGAATTCTACCCAGCAGGGTTAAACAGCTGTGTGCAGAACAAACAGCATTAAACACAAACTGCAGACAAGGACTGTTGTGTTGTTCATGGCTCGAAATCATTTTACAATGAATGCTTTTAAAAAGAGACTATTAACCCTTTGATGCATAATGGTCACTACAGTGGACAGGTACTCAAAATTGTTATTTATTTATTTTTGCTATTAAGCACAGCTGTTGAAGACTTTATTGCATGTGAGCCCCTTCATTTGGACTTCAGTAAGGCAAGCCAACATATTTCATGTTCAGAATGCACGCTGTCCACTGAGATGGACATGTAATAAAGTATTTGTAAATTAACAGAATATTACAAAAATATTTGTTGAAATTTGTTTCATTCACACCTAAAGATGAATGAAAAAAATTGTTAAAAAAATCATGGTTGAAGATTTCATAATTCATGCATCAGAGGGTTAAAGGATGCTCTTTAACCTTTGAGATTAACATTATGGAATTACATGAAAAACTCAGTAATCTGGGCGGCCATGGCATGACTTATCATCAAACGTCGTTAAATCCGTTTTGTGTTCAATAATTGTGATTTAAAGCTTCAACTCTGAAGTTTTACATTTATCACTGTATGGTTTTATCATTGTTTAAAATCTTATGTATTTCAACATTCTTTCTGATTTTAATTTTGAAATTTAAACAAATACATGTCATTAGTTATTTTTCATCTGAGGTTGTATTTTTATGACTTTGTCCTAAAGTGATAAAATGTGTAATTATTATGACTGCTATTATATTTGTACACCAATTCTGTTTCATTAAGACGGCAACTTTTGAACTCTACGCCAGGTTAATATATTTGACTTAAAGAGCAAGTCACCCCCAAATCAACATTTTTTTCTGATAAACTATATAAATGCGTGTCTAATCATGCTGCAGACACGTGTAGTCAATACTTTAGCACTTTGGTGCATTTTAGTTAAAATTCAAATTTTCTGCCTGAAACTGTCAGTGTTGTGCCGTTGTCAGGTAAAAACTTCACTGCATTTGAATTTAAATCTGCCACCGCTATTGGCTAAGAGGTATGCTATGATGTAAACTGGTACATTATGATGTCACAATGTCGTGAGTGTGTGTATTTGTTAGTGGCTCCACCCTCTCGGTCTGCTAGGCAACAGCATTTGTTGCATTTTTCAAACATGAAGTGGGAGTGAAGTCCGGTTCTTGTAAGAGGTGACTTGCTCTTTAAACAATTAATCATTATTTATGCACTATTTCTCTCTAACAATGGTCATTAATCCACACTGGGACGTACCTGGTCTGAGGAACGGCTGTATCTGCATCTGTCTGGAGGGAAGTTCCTTCAGTCATCAGCCCAGCCCGGTGCTTCAGTGTCTCAGTGTTTATTGGATTGTGTGTCCATTCCCACAGCTCCTGCGGGTCAAATGACTGGGATGTGGACCTCACAGCCGCTAAGTGGTCTATCGATCAGTCAGCTGAGTCTGCGGGCTGATGGGATGTCCTGCTGCAGACTTGGCACGATGGTCTTGGCTCCAAAGCACAAAGCATTCCTTCACAGACAAGAATCAGGCTCTGGCTGACAGAGGGATGCTCATTAATGATGAGAAGAACCGCCAGCGCCAGACAGGAACTGGTGTTAAAGGCCAGTTCGGGTCCTCACACACAACTTAATCTGTAGCTTTATCTAAAGCAGCGGTCCCAAAGCTTTTCAGGTTAGGACCCACAGGATTACAGAGGCAAGGACTCGTAGCCCCAAAGCCGAAAGTACTCAACAAATATTGTTAAAATCTAAAGGAACATAAGAAAAATATAAAGAACTTGATCTAATATGGTATTATTTCAATCCATCTAGTTATTATATCAGTTATAGTTAAATTATTCTGTCGGAAATGAAGTTTTATATTTATGGAAATAATCACAAGACCCAAACTTAAATGTGATTGGCCTGCTGCTGCATGGACCTGACCCAAACAGGTGATTTAAAGGAACTTCAGAGATTAGGAAAATATCATTTATTAAATCCATTTGAAAATGGATGAAACACTTAGACGATGTTTTAGAAATGCAAAAAGACTAATTTTTGCCCTAAAAAATGTAACAAATGTGCAAATTACATGGTTTCATAAAGTTTCACTGAAGTGGAACAAATGTCAAGTCTACAGATTATTTTCTATTCTGCAGACAAAACTGTAAAGTATCTGTCCTCGTCTTTGTTACAAAAACAGATTACATCACTTAGATGTAAATTTAAGAGCAAGGAGTGTGTGAAGTCTGCTGCTTGTGTGTGTGTGTGTGTGTGTGTGTGTCTGTGTGTGTGTGTGTGTGTGTGTGTGTGTGTGTGTGTGTGTGTGTCCAGTCCGATGAAATAGAGAAAAAAATATTTTTTTATACTTCTTTTCAACTTTGATATTTTACTTTTGACTTCAACTTTTCTGTTCTGAAGTCGATAATCCATGAAAAAAGTCATTTTTACATTTGAAAGTTTTTGCCTTTTAAAATCAAAAGAAAACGGAAAATTAAGAAAACTAAACACTCAACGATAAGCCAGCCAACATATCATGGAATAACTGACTAATTTCCCACAGGTGTAAACGCAAAAACAGGAAGTATAATTAACAATGGGGAGTTTCAAAATAAAACAGGAAGTACAAGTGAGGCAGAAGTACATAAAGTATGAAAACTCGTTTATAAAAGCTAGACAAGCCCAAACGAATAATCACATCCGGTCTCTCGTCTTGCTTTAACAAAATAATATTGCTTACAAAAGTTACACACCTTCTACTGAAGCATGAGAGATCCAATAATCGGATAAAAAGACACATCTGAGGTATGCAAAGCAACTTGTAAATAAAGACAAACAAATCTGCTGTGTTTAAATGCATTTATTTAAACAATAAACCACGCATTCCCAGTCAACTGTTTACAAAAACCTCTCACGTTTATAAAATAGCCTCATACACACAAAGATAAATATAATCATAGAGAATCGTCAAAAGAAATGTGACAAGTTATAATTGGCACATCTGAGACATAGGCTTCACCAGCAGAGTAGCGTAATGTTTCCTAGTTATGAGCCGGACTACTGAAACAGGCACGTTTAGCAAATGCAGCTGCGACCCGTTCTCAGGATGCTACAGCATGAATCCAAACCAGGGAGCCAGCCCCGTCAGACAGGATTCATGCCCCTAATGAAGAAATAAACCTTACCCCCATGAACCACACTTGATTTCAGAAAATATAACTCTGGTAACGCAACACATTTTAGTGCAATTAGCAACTTAAGCTTCATCTGAATGACTACAGGGTGATTTATTCTGAGGAAAAAAAAGATACAAATCAAATGTTTTTCAAAAAAAAAAACCTAGAGGAAAATGTCATGAGCAACAGCGACATCTGCTGCTTGTGTTTGACAAAAGACATGATGAACATTCCTGCAGAAACACTAATAATAATATCTTTTTTACATTTGCTTTCAACCAAGTTCAGTTTGAGCTTTTACTGTTTTTTTATTTGTTTGTTTTAAACTCATTTAGTCGTATTTTTCTCTTTGTTGTGTTGATGGATGTTTTCTGCCTGATTTTAATGAAACGTGTGATGTACTTTGGTCAACTCTGCAGTTCTTAAGTGTGCTACAGATATAAATTTGACATTAACATAAGAACAAAAGTTTCTTCTTGGAAAACTGAATCCCTTTGGTTACAATCTGATTCCCAGCATAAATCCATAAAAGCTCAGAACGTAATTCATAATTTAAAAAAGCTGCTCAGAAACAGAGTCCCAGAGTTTCAAATCCGAGAGTTTTCTTTGATCCTGATCTCTTTGTACACTTTTCTGCTTCAGTTTTTCTTCTCGTCTCCTGGCAGGAAGTACGGGTTCTCGTGGCCTTGGACCAGATACGAGTAACGGGACGTATATTTGCCCTTGAAAGTCATCATTTCATCTGGGTTCAGATCATATGAGCCAGTCTGAAATGTCAACAGAAGCAGAGGGTGCATCAGGTTCTTTAAGAAGTGGCCACTCCACATGTGAACATGCAAAAGCCCCGAGAAGCCAAACTCACAGACACAAAAACCCAACTCACCAGCATGAACTCGTAACCACCCATAACAACGCTCTACTCAGGTGACTCCCGTTGAACTCACTAAATTCAGCACGACGGATGTTTCCCATCACCCAGAAGCACCACCACCGACAGTCCTAAAGTCTAAATCGTCAGCTGGGGATATCAGGGGCAAATCAGAGTCTACATGCAAAGCCAGGCCTTACCTTCTTCCATCCTGTTGCCTTCAGCGGAGACCCCTAAAGCAACACACTGTGAGTCAGGCAAAGCAGGGAGCAGGGGTGGGGGCTAAGGCTAGCAGCACCGTGTTTGAATTCTGAATGATTGGTCAAACAAACAGCTGAGTGGAGTCTTTATGATGGATCAATCTTCTAAAGTAATGCAGGAAATTAGAGTCGGACGTGTCGATTTGCAGGTGAAAAACCTAGCTGTGTGATTATGTTAATGAGTGAGTTCAGTGAAGATGGAGCAAGTGTCAGAGCCTACCATGCCATTTGTTTGAGACTTTTTCTCCACAGTGTAAGAGCCGTCCTTTTCTGACATCTCCATGGCATCAGCTGCATCGAGGTTGGTGGTGGCACGAGGGATGGGGGTGATGTCGATAGCCCAGGTCTTATTTAGATCGTCTGAGTACGGACTGGTGGTGTAGCTGGGATGTCTCCCTAGGCATCTGCTGCTGACAGAGGATAGAAAATGTGTGCACAGGTTCACAGACCAAACTGGCTTTACTTTTCTGAATCAGAACCAAATTTTGCATCCTGCTGCTCTGAAAATGGAGTAAAGCTGGTTTGCTGATTAATACTCAATCAATCAATCAATCAATCAAAGATACTTTATTAATCCCAGAGGGAAATTAGAGTTTCAGTACACACATTTCAGAGATCAGACACACATGGGCAAGACACATGACAAGAATTGGTGACTGTGATTATTCGCAACCCTGAGTCGCGCTACCTTAATAGAGATAAGAGGGGTTACATGAGGATTGGTTCAGGTGGAGGGAAAAAAAGGCACTTCAGAGTTACCCTCCACCAGGAGGGCAGCTTTGCTCTGCAAAAAAACACCTCTGACAGAGATATGCAACAGACTTCAGACATCAAACAACATAAGTGCCCACTAGGTGGGGTGGTGGGTTGGGACTATCCCCACTTCAGTTCCTGCAGCCACAATAAGCAGTGCATGTCACCTCAGTGTGGATAGGGGGAGGAGCATTGAGGGTTGGAGGGTTGCAGTGACCCTGGAACGTTTCAGCTGCCTTCCCGCAGTCCTGTCCAGGCTGGGAAAGGAGACAGAGTTGTGTTGCCAAATAGGGCTGCAACAACGAATCGATGAATTCGATGAAAATCGATTACTAAAAGCGTTGGCAACGAATTGCGTCATCGATTCGTTGTGTTGCGCAACTCTTCCAAAAGCCCCCTCCCCTCCCGCCCGCCGTTGCGCGCAGACCGGTGGAGAGCCGGCAGGTGTTTGTAAGAGGAACATGGCAGAAGCAGCGAGACCCCAAAAAAGTTAAAACTTCTAAAGTTTGGGAGCATTTTCAGTTAAATCAGGCGAAGACATGCAACGTTTGTAGGTCAGACTTAGCATGGCACGGGGATACTACGGAGATGATGCAGCGTCTTAAACGCAAGCATGTCAGAATCATCAGCGAGGAAGGAGAGAGCTCGGTGTCCGGGTAAGTTAAAAACTTTTCAAAAGTGATTCACCCAAGCCCCAGATTATTACACAGGCTAGACATGCCCTAAGCTCGTAAAAAAAGTCTATAAAATTGTAAGCGCGACGCTATTTGATAGTCGGGGGGGGAACTCGCGCCGCTGCGAACCGGTTCCGCCGTCACATTCCCGCAGAAACTGGTTGATCACACCGGGGCCAGACTACTAACATGTGGTTTTACAACCACAATGTCCTCAGAAGCAAAAACGCTTTTAAAAGGGAGGGAGGAGTCCTAACTGTTGCTGCAGGCGTGTTGTGTGAGAGTGCAGTTATATACTGGTTAATATATTTTTGGGTTCAGTTGCTTTCATGTGGCCTAATGTGAGTCTATTTGGGATCATTGGAATGATCAGCAGCATTTCTTGATGTGACTTTATGGCAGTTGCCCAGGGCATCATCGCAAGGAGGATGGCATTCATTTACTTTTGTTTTATTTGGTATTTTTCAGTCATTTTTGGAAATAGTGATTAATTTGATTAATTCACAGCCTATGTTTAATTACATTTAAAAATTAGTTGTTTGACATCCCCAATTATAATGTCTACAGATGAGATCAAACAAAACAGATGAGAATTGCCCTTAAAGAGCAAGTCACCCCCAAATAAACTTTTTTTTGCTGATAAACTAAATAAACGAGTGTCTAATCGTGCTGCAGACACGTGTCATCAATAATTTGGCACTTCAGTGCATCTTAGTTAAAATTTAAATATTCTGCCTAAAACTGGCAGTGTTGTGCCGTTGTCAGGTAAAAACTCTGCACTGTATTTTAATTTAAATCTGCCACCGCTATTGGCTAAGAAGTATGCTATGATGTAAACTGGTACATTATGATGTCACAATGCTGTCGTGAGCCTGAGTGTGTGTGTGTATTTGTTAGCGGCTCCGCCCTCTCGGTCTGCCAGGCAACAGCATGTGTTGCATTTTTCAAACATGAAGCGGGAGTGGAGTTAGACTCTGGTAGGGGTTGACTTGCTCTTTAAGCTGTTTAACTTGGACCAAGCATTTTAGGTCACAGATAGATGTAGCTTAGGGTCTCTGTCTATACGCCTTATAAGACAATTTAGGTGATGGCATGTTGTTTTTCTGCTATTGAACTGTTTTCTAATAATGTTGTGTTTAATAAAGTGAAGGAAGGAGAAAAATAACGTTTCCCTGGCAGTTTTTAAAAATGTCCCTATGTAATCCGATTAATCGATTAATCGTGTCGAGACCCCATCCGATTAATCGATTATCCAAATAATCGTTTGTTGCAGCCCTATTGCCAAAGCGACGGCACATTCCTCAAATCTTCTGAGGGGGAAGTTTTCGTTGTAGCCTTGCAGGCTCAAGGACGCCAGATTCCGATTAGAAATTGTTTTGGGGCCAGACAGAGATCATTTCCTCTCTATCTTACAGTTTGTTGGTCCTCAACCTCTCAAAATCCCAATAATGGACATTAATCTATCCCAATCCGTGCTGATTCGTCCACTCTCTCCTTGATGGCATCTTTTGTGCCAATAATGAATCTCGGCCAAAGTCCCAAGCTTACGATTCATCTCGACAATTATGTGAGTCTGTGAATTCACAGCGCGGTGCAAACCATCTCTGAGCTCCGGGATCAGGCCAATATTCCTCAACAGCTCGTTAATTTTCCGGTAAGCCAGGCAGCCTCCAAGGCCAATGAGCAGGACACCTGACACCAACACCACGAATATCCACACGTCTTCAAAGTCCCCCACAGACAACTGAGATAGACAGATCAAGTTCCACTGTTTCCAGGAGTCCATGATGTGTCCAACTGGGTCTGTCCCGGTGGGGTATCCGGGAGCCCCTTCTCCCGTTCTCATTGTTGAAAAAATTGTATCAATCGCATTGAGAGACCAACTGACAAGGTTCATTTAAGTGAATTTCAGTTTCCAGAAAAATGCAGAAGCAGTCGTGCACCCAGCACACACAGACAGACAAAGGCCTTGAGGATAAGATATGGAGGAGAGGAGGAAAAAAAGCGTCTGCACCCTCCAAGAGCCGGAAGAATGCACTTTACACCTGTTCAGTCTTCACTCCACTGGCTTTCTGTGAGTTTTAGAATACAGATCAAAATGTTGATGTTCATGTTTCAAAGTACTCACGCCACTACTCCCTCTTACATCACCGAGATTTTATCATTACAAACACAAAACGGAGTATCAAGGTCGTCAGGTCAACCGTTCCTAGATATCCTCAGATGAAGATCCAGACAGCGAGTGAGGTGGTCGCTCTTTTGCTGTGGCGACCGCAAAGCTGTGGAACAAACTTCCCCCTGATCTACATACCACTACAGATCAGTCCCTCTTTAAAATTAGGTCTGAAACATACCTTTACCATCGGGCTTGTAGAAGAGGAAGAAATGGTCTTTCAAGATAAAAATCACAAGAATAAATCCCTGGAGATGCCAAACCCTTTTGACTTATGGTCAAACTGAGCTCTTTTATGTTTTTATATTCATTTCTACTGCTTTTTTTGGTAAACAGGTTTTAGTGTCTTACTGTGAAGCCCTTTGGTCGCCTCTTTTGGCTGGGTAAAGCGCTCCATAAACTAACTTTGGTTGGCCGATTGATTGATTGGTTGATTGGAGCATCAAATGTGCATCTAAATGCAGGATTTGAGGACAAATATCTTTAGTATGATCTGAAAGTAATAGGCCACTTTGAACAACCCTGCTCTAAACATGTAATCTGATGGGATTTCACTCTAAAATTCCTAGAGCATCTCCCACAAAATGGACAAGTTTGATGGGAGTCTTAATCTGGTCAGAAATGTAGCTGAATGTTTTTTTTTAACATAATTCCTTACGATACAGATATTGAAGGAGTGTTTAAGGACATTATCCTGTTGGAGGATGAAAATGACTCCAATCAAGAGCTGTCCACATAGCACAGCTCCTCAAAAAGCCTCTTTTAGCAGCTCCGGCCATCATGCTTGATAAAAATCTTTGTAAATTGCATTAAACTCTTTTTTTATTCTTTCTTTAGGAAATAACCTTTTGAATGGCAAACGTTTAAGCAGAAGGGTGTGAAATAAAGGAAAGTTAGCTGTAAGTTGGAAAAATGGGGAGGATTAGTGGCGATTCTCACCAGCAGCACTGAAAGAGCAACACCAGAATAAGGATGAGCAGAATCCCTCCCAGTACGCAGGAGACCACCACTACTGCCAGCAGAGACGCTGTAGAGAGAGAGTCAAACAAACATTTAGAGTTCTGCACAACAAAACATGTCTGACTGTCAGATCAGATAGAGTCAAGTCACTTACAGTCATTGCAGTTGAAGCCAGCATACCCAAAAGGACAGCTAGGAGATAAAATGAGTAAAGATTACTCCACTAGAGGGAGCTAGAAACCCATCAACACACAAGTGAACTCACGGTTGGCAGGAAGCCCCCACTGCACGCTGCCCACTAGGACAGGCTGCAAAAAGAAACAACTCATTAACACTGTGTTTGGTTCAATGAGAACAGAACAGGCTACAGTTTTAGAATCGCTACGCCTGAGTGCACGTCTCTCCACATGGAGGCGGCACAAAGACGATTACTAACAAACACACAACAGTACAATATGCCTCTCTAGGGAGAGGAGCCGTGTGCAGAATCAGCTTGCAGTGTATTCTTTAATGGCTTTTCCTACAGCTGATCGTCATGGTCACAGCCGTGCACTCAAGAGGCAAAGCTGTGATTCCTCTGCATGTCTCCAAGGTAACATCCCAGTTAACAAGAAATAGATTGGAGAGATAAATGGAGAAAGGGTCAAAGGTCAGCATAGAGAAAAGGCTACAGCTCTTGACCTCGTCTGTGAGTCCCGCTCCCTGTTGTTTCTGCCCCTCATTCCCACACTTGAGTGAGGATAAGAAGGTCTTGTTACAGTTTTTATGACTGTAGATCAGCTGGAAATATCTCACAGCCATATGAAATTTTATTCCTGTGAAAGAACACAGCAACACACACTTTAGCATACATCAGCAGTTACCTTTGCAGCTGGTGTTTGAGTAGACCATGGAGATGTAGCCGTCGCTACAGGAGCAAACACTTCGGCCGTTGTTGTTTGTGCAGCGTGTGGTGGCACTATCACATGGTAATGGCTGCATCTCACACAGATTTGTGCCTAAAACAGATCATAAACAAACACCTAAGAGAAATAATCTAATCTGACCCACTGGATCGTGCCGAGTTGGTTCTCGCCTGTGTAGACGGCGTTCCTCAGAATTTCACTTGTGTTGTTTAAACTGCTCTTAATGATCTGATCAACAGATTGCTGAGTGGCAGAAGTGTCTTCAAAGATGTTATTCACAGTTGCTATCACACTTCCAGGTCTGGAGAAATAGAGATCACCAACTGAGCTGGGCCACATTTGTAGCTCAGAACTGAATCGTACAGCAGCAAAAAAAATAAAAATAAAAAAACTGAGAAAACTTACTTAAGTTGAACAACGTCTGAGCGTATATAGCCCACCTCACTTTTAAGGATGTCTCTGAGCTACAGAGAATAAACATGATTTAACGAGTGAGACTGGAGCATCTATAAGAGCAGCTCAACTCGGTCCGGACCTCACAACTTACTGCTGCTGAGATCTGGGAGGATGTATTCTGAAAAACACTGGAGGACCGGTCGCTCATTTCCATTTCAAACTTCAACTTTAAGTGAAGATTGCCTGGAAACACTTGTGCTGAAAAGACAAAACAGCAGACTCAGCCTCGCTACACCGGTTTTATCAGTAACACATTACAAATGTTAATAATCTCACCAGGTTTACAGATGTTGTTCTCCATGTAGCTGCCAGAGAGACACTGGCAAGTACCGTTCAGACAGATGCTTACAGCAGGACATGGGACAGCAGGACACACTGATAACAGAATACAGAAATAAAACACCAGCTTTAGCACACGCTTTCAGCACTAATTCTTAATGCTCTAACATCCTCGACAGCTCACTTTCTTTTCAAGCTCACACTAATAACATAATTCGGTCAGCATATTTCCATTTTCGTTCCATAAACCGTCTCCGCCCCTCCCTTACCCCTCACGCTGCCGCCATTCTCGTCCACAGCCTCGTCGCCTCCCGTTTCGATCATTGCAATTCACTTCTTTATGGTCTCCCCAACAAACTACTTCATAAACTGCAACCGGTCCAGAATTCAGCAGCCCGTATTATCACCAGAACCCCTTCCTTTCACCACATCACCCCGGTTCTCCAGCAGCTTCACTGGCTCCCAGTTAAATTCAGGTCCATCTTCAAAATTCTCCTCCATACCTTCAAAGCAATCCATAACCTCTCTCCTCCATATATCTCAGACCTTATAAGTATTCACACCCCCTCCCGTTCTCTCAGATCTTCTTCCTCCATCTATCTTGCGGTTCCTTCTGCCCGTCTCACCACCATGGGGAGCAGAGCTTTCAGCCACACTGCTCCCCGTCTCCGGAACTTACTCCCCCCAGACATCAGGAACATCGACAGTTTCACCCTTTTCAAAACCAGACTCAAAACACACATGTTTAAATCTGCCTACGACCTCTGATTTTATTGAACTATTTCTCTCTTTGTTTCTCTTCTTTGCGTTTTATTGCTGTTTTAATGTATTTTCTGTCAAGTGACTTTGGGTGTTCTGAAAGGCGCTTTTAAATAAAATGTATTATTATTATTATTAATATTAGTTTATACTCTTACTTTTGTCTCTGCTGATGACCGAGTAAAGAATAGAAAACAATGACTTAAATGTGTTATTTCCACCTGCACAAAAATATATTTAAAAATAGAAGATCTTGTTCGTTTTGGAGCGCTAAGAAAACAAGCTAACATGATTGTTTGCTTCCTGGCTCAAACTGTTGCTATATGATCAGTAACAGAAGCTGAATCCATTGACTCTTGCCACTAATGGAATCACATGTGGGTAATACAAGTATTATGTTGTTTTTTGTTTGAATCAGCTAAAACATTTCTTTCTGGACCTAAAGAAAGCATCAGCTTGTCAAAAACAAAGTGTTACAAACCTAAGACTGGGCTCAGAGTGGATGGAGCTGCTGTAGATGGAGTAATGATGGTGGTGGTATTTGTTGGTCGTAAGGTGGTGACAGCCATGGTGGTCCCAGTTGTGATGGTGTGCTGGGTCATAGTGGTGCTGCTTGGTGTGGCTGCTGTTGTATCAGTTATTGTGATGTTTGTAGTGGTTTGGGTGGTCACTACATCAATAAAAATTAGACAGAGCCCAAAAATGGCTTAGAAAATAACAGAATCAGTGCTACAGGGAGCCTAAGTCATGCCCACCTACT